TTCCTCCGATTTCTTATGGAAGGCGTGAGGAAACACGATTTTATACCACTTTTTTGTTACCCCTTTTTTCTGTCACTAAATTAAACAGGATCTCTCCTACTTTTTAAGCTTTTTAATACCCAATATTTTATCTGTTTCCTTCATTTAAATTGAAACTTTAATTTCTTGTACTAAGAATTTAAAATTCAAATAATTTTTGTAATATTATTTATCACTCTATTAAAATGAAAATAATAAAATTATCACTGGTCTACAATTGAATAATTAATTAAAAAGAAGATTAGAAAAATTTTAAATAGCATTAATATCTTGCCAAAAGCTTAAATTTGGAAATGAATCCATCTAATAATAATTAATGGCCATTTTCACTGAAACCTAATTAATTTAGCAACTAAACATTCCAATCATACATTTTACCTGCTAAACTATGTATTTTAAAGCAAACCATTAATTCCCTGCATTCAGGCGTTAAGTCTGGGCTCGGTATAAGCGAAATGTTTATTTTTGTCGTCAGAATTCGCGCAGCTCCAGTCGCCACTAGAATACGCCTATTTTAAGCGTGTTGCTGCTTCTAGGAAAGTTCATAGAGAAATATCTCGTGGCAAAACACGCCGGACTAAGTATACAAGGGAAATCTAATTAAACCATCTCAATTACACCGGTACACAGCGACTTTATCGTAAATCCTCCGAACACGATGTAACTTCCGGTTAACGTTGCATACGTTTCTACGCATTTTCCTACCACTTTTGTAGATTCGTGGTAACCGTATTTTTTCGAGCATTTAACAACGACACATTCATCACTGAATAACATTACACGAGTGGGTATTTTAAAAAATAAAATAAATTTAATTTTGAAATAAGAAATACAATAGTGTGATCATCAAACCTCCTGGTAATAAAGGAGATCAATTTGATTATCAACAATAAGTAAGGACAACCACTATGTCCAACTCTTTGCAATTCAATTACACTGTATCAAAATCATTCGGGCCTAACGCGAATTCAACAAACTCTCGATGAATCGAGTTACGTCTTAAACATTAACTCGCAACTGTCCGGGGGACGAAGTTCGAAGTTCCTCCCACGAAATTTGCCTTTAGTATTCGAACCGCGAGACAACGTAATTTAGTCAGAACTGAACTGGTTACTATTAATGGAATGAACATTCATTGACACAAGTTTAACAATAGCAGAATACTTTTCAAGATGTACAATTACCTATTGCCTCGTTAATCGCAAGTTTTACTTGTGTTTGTAAATAATAAATTATCAATTTGCTCAATTAACTCTTAATTAAAGCTGGCTATAATTTTGTGAGAAAATCCTAGGACCTCGGGATCTCGAAATTTTAGAATATTACGATCGCTACCTAGTTACGCCAATGTAAATGAGCTCTAAAGCTGATTAACCCTTCGAAAATAGATGTTTCAATAAAAATTGGCAAAAATTTTCAGGATGGCCAAATATTTTCATAAAAATTATGGGAAAGGTTCGGCCGGAGTTTGAAAATTTCTACAACACGTAGGAAATACAGTTCTACCAACATATGCTGGTTTACAGAAGGTACACCCGACCATCGAAGCACGGGAATGCAAATCCGAATGAAAATTAATGCTACGATAATATTTGCGCTTAACCTTGCGACATCGTGCTCGTATTAATTGCTGCAATCGATTACCGATATCGGTTGAATGGAATCGGTTCGAAAGGGATCGCGCGTGCTGCTTCAACTTATTAGTTTCACAACCGGCCTCCAATTACGCCGAAAAAGAACGACCATTTACAAAATTCTTCTCGTTTTCGTTCACCCTATCCGTGATCATTTGTACCGTCGTTAATCCCTCGATTAGCATTAAACGCGTCCGTACCGAGATTAAGCGGATCCAGCTTTTCAAATAATTTTCTTTCGACCAAACGCGCTTCCATTATCCGCCGATCTTTCGCGCATTCGATTTCGCCCTTTTGTCGACCTACTTTCTCCCATTACTTTTTCAAACCTGCATACTTCTAGCGTTTCAGAAAGATTCTCACAATTTTATGGTTTAACTTTAACTATCCATTCATTCCGTGCACGTCGGGCAATTAAGTGTTCGATATCGTTTACCCTCTACGCGTATGACCGAGTGATTAAAGATTTTCTAGTTGGAAAAATAAAGGAGTTCGAACTGCGAAAAGTTTCGAAGCAACGACGATCATTTAGGTGAAAGGAAAGTCGTGCGTGAGATTTAAAATTTCGCGAAAGCACACCGACGACCCCCTGAAACTCGATTTCGCACACATCTGCACGCATCGATTCAAGTCGAGTCGTTAATCGTAAAACTGTCAAGAAGTGAAAAACTCGAGTGCCAACGGAGGGAGGAGTTGCTTTTTTTCAATATTTAAAAGTTCCTCGGCTGCAACGAAAAATACATTTGCCACCGTGTTGGCTCATTAAGGAAGCGAGAATTTTAAATTGCACTTCTCAGGCAAGAATCCTTACAAATTATCTGTTTTAAAGTAACATTTTCAACGCAAAATATATCTGCCTTCGAAAAGTTGAGAATATAAGTGAACCCTAACGTTAAAATGATAAAACGAATTACATTAAAACTTCTGTCGTTGTAAAATCTGAAATTTTAACATTTCATCGGAAACGATTCTCAAATGCTCATAAATAAAAAGGTATCCAGAGGTGGAGAAGTTTTCAGAAAATGGAAGAAAACTTTTCGAAAATCGAAGCCACTTCTGAGAAACACAGTATCTATACAAGTGGTTGAATGGCTGAAAAGGGAAGCATTGTTCGAAAACTGAAGAAGTCGCCCAGTTCTGCTCCAAATCATGCAAAAATGGCTTTTAACAACCCTGAAAGAAGCGTACGTTCCGAATCTCAGGGCAGAATTTTGCGTATCCGTTTCTCAGAACAAACTGTAGGTACTTTAAAGAATAGTAAAGACTTTGAAGAAGACTGCATCAACGGAGATAGCAGCTTTTAACTCTTGGACGGCGGACCATAAAGAGAGTCCCAATTTTAATTCAAGAATTTTCGAAATTTCTCGAGGTTGGAAATATTTCAAAAGAAGCGAGCTATTTAGGTAAGCAATATTATCGCTACTCTGTTTTAATTATCACAAAAATCAGTGTTAAAATACTTCTAAATAACTTTGAAATTTCAAAACTTCCCGAGCTGGATATTCCACAATGCATAGTGTACAAGAACTAACTTCTCGAGCCAGTGAAATACTTTTCAGCCTCGCAACGAATAACCAGCCTGTCGATTTTCTCTGGCAGCAGATACCGAGTTTTATGCAACAGATATCGAAGAAAGAAACGAGAAGGAAGTTTTAATCGCAACAGTTCGAACGCTTCCGCGCGAGGGATTTCTATGGAGCCGCGAATCCACCTGAGCTGAATGGGATTCTTCAAAGTTCATTAACTCCCTGTGAAGCACTGTACAAGATATACCATAATTCTGACAATAAGTGTTGCATACTTTTACCTACACCTGTATACGTTCAAAGAGAATCATTATATATATCTTTGGCAAATGTTTTCTAAATCAAATTTATAATTATAGACATTAGAAATTTACAGTGTATGCTTAAAATTGATAAAAAAAATGGTATTTAATTTAGCTTAAATAAGAAACATTTGATCAAATTTAATATCAAATTTAAAAGTGCTTCGCTGTTAAAGGGTTAAAAATATGATACTATATACTGTTTAATATATACGAAACGGTTTTAAAAAAAGATAAACGATAATATATATAAAAGATAATATTTGTACGGCGTATTTATATGGTAAACAACAAAGCACATAGAAATATGTGAAAAACTCTAAAATTAATGTTGAAAAATCAGAGCATCGACGTGTCAGCGCAGTGAAAATAGACGATTCGGAATTAGCTCATACGTTAACTTTTTCCTTTTTTTTTGTTTTCGAAACTTGCAAACGGATATGACGAATATGAGAAACTACGATATAAAACAAACTGAAACAATCCGTCAGTGCCTCGTTTCCAATTCGAAAGCACGGTAGGATTTCTGTCTAGCTCGGAAATCATGTGTCCTTGTCACGGTAAAAGAGTTAACCCTTAACTATAGATCTAAAGACCGACAGATTTTCAAAGAAACAAATTTCAATTTGTAATACACGTTATGCTTCATTTCTAATTGTATAAATTGCATGCATTATGTTTCACTCTGTGTTCCTATTGGAACGCCGAAATGGAGTATCAATAGTTAAGGGTTCGTTTAGCAAATGTATACAAGCAATAAACAGTAAGCTGTTGTTGTATACGTTAACAAACAAAAAAACATTAATTTAAATGAGTACTTTCATCAACAGAGATGCACACCAACCATGTAACTATAAATTTAACGTGTCACCCCTTCCTGCAAATTTGCAGTTAACTGTATACTGTATATTTCATTTGATTTACAATACCAAGATAAAATTATAAATTACTCTAGCGTGTAAATTAGTCTTCGAAATTAAATAGCAGATTGAAATACTTTTTACGTACAGTTATACCTATTTTTCAAGGTGTGATGTCCTTCAGAAATGAAAAGCAAGAGCATGTTTATTTGTGAAGGAAGTCGCTCTTGAAATCAGCTAATGACAACAAACAAGCTTTCCGTCTATTGCTATTCCCTTTCGCCTGAAAGCCGAGTGTTTTGTTTCCCATTTACATGGTACAACAACTACAAACTCTCAAGAACTTTCCACTCGTAAATTCCTGGCGTATATCGTGACTCATTTGTACCCACGTTTTCACATTCCTACCCTTTTTGGCGAGCTGTTTCTCGCCATTTCCTCCGCAAGTTGCAAACACGTTCCATGAGTACACGTAACATCTTAAATTTACGCACGAACCGTTTCCTCTCGCCACCCCCCATTCCCTTCTTATCGCGCGAAATAATTCTTCTTCCCACGAGTTTTTCATGCATTCTCCCACGTTCCCTAGCCGTGCAATATCGTTCGGCCGAGTTACAAACAGAGGAAGCAATGACTCACCTTTAACGCCCTGGTGAAGTTGCAGGAGCAGCAGCAGCATCATCGCGATCGTGTCCTTTGCCCTAGTCCTGCTCGGTAAATCCCGTTCACTGGCCATCTCTGTAGATCAGCGACAACTTCGCGACGAACGATAATACGCGATTTAAAATATTTCACACGCACCACATTCGTCTGACCACTGTACGGCAATATTACTTTAGCTCCTTCGGTTATATTCACTCACGATCAAACACACAATTCACCGACGATGACTGGTTGCGCGATCTCGATTACCCGGCTCGACAAGGTCACGTCGATTACGAGGGTCACAAAACATCGAGGCTCGTGATTAAGAAACGAAGAAATTGCACAGAGTCGAAGAACAGAGTATTACCGAGTCGCGAGAGGAGCCGGAATGTCGCACCGTGTCACAGGGATCTGTCGCGTAACCGGAAGCGTGTCAACGGAGCGCGAGAATTGTCGCGAAACACGTGCACGCTCGATAAAACGGCGGGCAACTGTGCGACCGGCCACGGTGTCGAGGAAGACCGAGAGAAACTGCACGGCAGAGAAGGACAGCCGGGTCCAGGGCGTCGACAACCGTAAGGGGGAGGATCCGCGATATCCTGCGGCCGATGGATCTCCCGCGATTCGAATGACGAGAATGGAGAGAAAAAAAATTGATACCGTAGAGAAGGTTATCAGACGTGTCGTGTGCGTGCGTCTGACCGAAGAACCACGACGACTAACCGAAACAGAGGCAGACCACGACCGAGTGACGTACCCCGAGACGTGGTGGCACGACGCGATACGACCGATTCGTACGCTTACCCGAAACTAAACGATTCGTGGCGAACAGCGCGCACCTGTCGTCCTACGGCACACTGCGCATGCTCCAACGAAGGAAGCCGACTGCGAGCTCGTCCGCACAACCAGGGTGGATCTCGCAGGTGGGAGAACAGCGTGGCTCGGCGTGCTCGCATAAACGTGGAGAGACGATAGAATATCCTTGTACTTGGAATTAAGATTTTTCGTTCGGTCTGAACAACCCTTGTCACACGAGAATTCTCCATGCGTCTTCTAGTGAGACAAAATTTAAAATAATAGATATATTTCATTGCGTTAGGATACATAATCTTATTGTTTCCTGTCCCTGGTGGAAAGAAAGATCATTTAATTAGCTAATCGATTCGGGTGCAATCCAGGAGCTGTCATTTTAAATGGCCAGTCTTCACGCTTATCATTTAATACAATACAAAAACATATTATACTTATCTTTATGAAAATATTTTCAAACATAATTTAGTTTATAAAAGTAACTTTAATATATATGTATATATTAAATAGTTATACAGATAATGTTATTTCTGCTCAAGTACAATAGTTAGTTGTTTGTATTTAATGTTACACCTTCACGAAATGCTTATTCCCTGCCCGCAGCATTTTCTAGCCATTTTTATTAAATGTTAGAAAATCGCCGCCATTTTGATTCGTGATATGCGCTATGATTTTGTTCAATACAGCAAAGCTATAATTCCGTTTCGAACGCATTATTACTATTCTAATTTCCACCACGGATAAAACTATTCTGAATGCAATCATTTCGCATAACATAATTTTTTGTTTATAATTTAAACATTTATACAACACGGCATCATACTCACCCGTCAAATTGTACGTTGAAAATGCTTGATTCTTATACACGCATAACTTTTAAACCAGTGGATTCGTAAACGTAAAACGGAAAGGCCAATAACTCTTGATCCCTTAAAGAAACCGTTATTCGTAGTACACGAATTATCACTTTTAATTTAACGTTACACTTATTTGACAATAAATATCTGAATATAACAGGTACTAAATTTTATACGACCACGTGCTTCGCGGCGACACTACGTACTAAACAAATGTCGATCACGATGTGCAAAAGAAAATATAGCACGCTCTAGCGGCCGATATATGAAAGAACACAGTGTAAAAACACATAGAGGTTAACCCCTTACAGTGATTTCTAATTGACGATTTTATCGTATTGTAATTTGTAATTGGTAATTTTGCAGTATTGTGATTTGAATTTTTGTAATTTTGCAGTATTGAAATTTGTAATTGGTAATTTCCCTGTATTGTAATTTGTAATTGGTGATTTTGCCGTATTGTGATTTGTGATTGATAATTTTGCAGTATTGTAATTTGCAGTTGGACATCGCAAATTGGTATATAATTTTTAAATAATACTTTAATAATATAAGGTAAGATAATTTACCTTAAGATATTTTAAGATAATACTTTCAATCACTTAGAAAAGGCACGTATTGTATGGAAATATATATTTCCATCAACTTCCGCAGTTCACTAACACGTATTCAAAATATCCTTGAATAATGAATACACATGATAGTTTCCCTTTTATTGTTAGAGATTTTAGGATATACTTACATATGCTCCTAGTACTGTTGTCCTGTGGTCGAACATCTGTTTCCTATGGTGTTACGCTTCGCGACTTCATGTTCTTATGGGAACGTACAAAGAATAGAGTTGGATATGATACTTCAATACTAATAAGAATTTTACACACATGTGTTCTCCAATAGAGGATATCCGTACGAGTGATTTAAAAAAGTCATCACACTTTATTCGGTACAATAGATCAATTAGGATTTTTTTATGCGGTCATTAGTAACCGTATGAAGTTTTCCACGTTTAAACCTTTTAATTAAATACCCATTTATGTTCCACTAATCTTTCAATAATCAAGATTTTAGTGGCAGATGAGAGTTACGGAAATTTTTAAAAATTTATCATTTCAATAATAATTATGATAGCCACGTAGAAAATGAATCAAATTTTTAATATCCTACCAAAGGAAAATTATGTTCGTAGAATATTTGATTCCACGTGGATGTTTGCGTATTTCGCTAAACGACAGGCGGGTAAAAATGATTTCAGCGCATTTCGATTGCTCTTTCCTTCCCAATGAAACAAACAAAAGTATAACCGGACAGATAATCAACGATTTCCACGCAATATGCTTACTCGTTTCAGAAATTCGAGGAATGGGAATGCGCACTCGTTATTTCAACGAATCGCTTGTTTACAACTATCGGTCAGTCAGCGAAGTTCGTTTAATTAACGTTGCCTTCGCTTCCGATGGCGCGAACAAATTGGAAAGCACAGAATTTCTTCAGGGAAAATGAATTTTCCGGTTGCACGACGTCACTGCTAATTACTAGAGGCTGCTTATTAGTATGGGAACGTGTAATTGGACCAGACCAAAGGCATAATATATGTAACGTCAAATTAAAAATTTCCGCGCAACGTGAAAATCCTCTCAGTTAACTCGGCAACTTTGCAATTTTTTTCAAATATAAGTTCCACTGCACCAAGATTATTCGTTTGTTCGCTGTGAGAAATGAACGTTGGTAGAGCTTTCTTTCCAACGAAATTCAATTAACAGTTTAAATATTGTTACGTGTCATTAATCATTTTAAGTGCTAATTACACCTCTTAAGTTAAACAATGAACCGAAGGGGACTGTTCCCAAGAACTTTTTTGATTTATCGCTTTCTTTACACGCAGGATGTATACTGCGAAGTTTTGTTCTCAAAGTTTTTATGCTCTCAGATTATTGTCGCACGAAATGTGATCGTTCATGAACACAAAACTATCGTAAAATCTGGTAAACAAATATAAAAGTTTAAATGAAATTAAATAATTTATTATTATAGAAATTGTTGTGAGATAGCCTAACCCTCTAAGGTTATTAGAGATAATTAAAGGGATAATGAAAGTGGCAGATTTGAATTAGTTATTAATTATTTTGTACAATGGGTTCAAATGAAAGAGAAACGCATTTTAAATTTGAACGGTCATAATTAATATGTTCTATGGTAATTTCATTTCATTATCGGAAGTTTTTAAAAATTAATTAATTGACTCAGTATTTTTAAGTAATGGATACAAGTACATCTTTTAATTTATAATAAATCCCTGGTACGGTTGAACTTTATTCTAGAGCACACGAAATTTTTTATTTTCCTTTGTATACTTTAATAGTATCCGATCTAAAATAAAGTTCTTCTGTTATCATAATAAATAATATATTTGCGAAAATCATGGACGTAATAAAAATGGGGATTCACTAACTAATCCAAACTGCCCTTAATTCCCAATGTTGAGCAACTTTGTTGAATTACTTCTAGATAGGTCGATAACGAGTAGACGAAGGTTTGTCAACGAGATGAGAAAGTGTTGTTAGCAGAAGGCCAAGGTCAAGTATTGGAAACGACCTCGAACGACCTCATTATGCTCTCACACGAGTCTCCTGATAACGAGAGCCGTTGAAGCGTTTTCATCGATAGCGATGTCATTAAATTGCAACCGAGTGTTGAAGTAGCCGACGATGAGCAACAAAACTGAATAATTCCTTCGCGACAGGATGGCGACACCCAAGGAGGATACGACGCTTCGGAGGCGTACTTCTAATGGCCTGATGAATAATAACAATCAAACTGTACGAGTCGACTGGCATCGAGAAGAATAATGTCGTTTCGTCGAATCAGAGAAGCGAATTCAAAGGTTACAACGAAGGGTATTGAAGCTTCCTTCAGTTAGGACTTTTACTTTCTAAATTGTTCCATCGTTCCTTTCATGGTACACCTTTGAAAGGTTCATTTGCCTTTCGACGAACCGGAGCAGTGTTTTCTTTGTTTCTTTCTTTAATTTCGTTGTTCTTAAGTTTCCTTGCTTCTTTAGGTATTTCCTTCGACTTCTGTATAGGAATATCCTTTTCTACTCTGGAAATCGTTTTGGTCTTCAATTCAATTTAACAGAATCATTTATATGACATAAAGAAAGTACCTCAAATAAAATTTATAAAATCAACATTAAAGCTCGTATAACTAATTTAGATTTGCAATATTCAAATATCTTCTTGCATTCTTAGACGCAAAATCGTCTTATGGGGGCCCTGTAAAGTGTTAAAGGGTTAAAGACGAGCCGTTTCGCGATGACCATTCTTCGTTTAAAGTTGAATTATTGCAAATTAAGAATTTGAAAATTTTTATATAACAGTACAGTATTTAATTAAGAAGGAAATAGAATAATTACTGTAAAGTCGTTTCGCTAACCAAATGGAATTGCATATAATGATCTTGTTAACTTTCCGGTACCTTCTCGCAGAAGTTTCTTTCTTTTCCTTCCCCATCTTTGCTTACCACGGTGAACGGTCCAGTAAAATATACGCGAGTTCCAAATAAACTTTCCTAGGAAAAACAACGACCTTCTATCATGGCCTGTGAAAGCGAAGAGGTCGTTTACATTGGTTTTCCGAAGGTAATGGGGTATTATTTTGTTCGGACCAATGGCAGAAAGAAGGTAAAAAGAAAGAAAGTAAACATTGTCCGGTTTATTTATTCTGGCTATCGGTGAACAAATTTTCTCTAAAATCTGAGCGATTTTGAGAATGGATTGTCTTAGGCAAATTATTTCTTTAAAATTTAACTTACAACCTCAATTTTAATTTGTATTTTTCAATATTCCTTACGGAAAATTTTTATATTATAACCGTTGTTAGGTTATTTTAATTATTGTTATAATGTGTTGTTTTTACACTTCCTTTCATACCTGTCTAAAATCTTTAATAAAAGTTACGATCCACTTGCCCAGTTTTATCTTCACTTTATTAAATTCTCTGAAACATTGCATATGTACATTGTATAAGAAGTGTCTTAAAAGAGGATATACTAGGTTACGAGGCAGTTGTTTAAAAGAAAACTGTACATTTTCTTCTTTAACTTTATTAAAACCCCGTTACTTCGTTACTATGAATTTTGCCAACTTCTGAAGTTCACTATTTAATTAACATCCTTACAAACAGTAGCTTCTTAACTAATTAGAAAGAAACAATTCCCTGTAACAATTCCTTTTATAAACTATTTATTCCAGTTCATATCATTTTTATGTAAAATACTTTGATATTAAGTGCATCCAAAAAGTTAGTGACCCTTCTCATCGATCAATTTGTCGCATAGTTTTCAGTCTGCAGTTCTAGAATCTAGTTTTATTGTCATCTAAAAAATCTAGAGTGCGACAGTTTTAATTACTACGACTTAATGAACACGACGAGTATCGTTGCTCGGCCGAAGCTGCGAAGTCGTTTATATTTGCTCATCGAAACCCGACCGAAGTTATCCACTTGGTATCCACTTCGCTGTTTTTAAGTTGTTTCACGATGAAGTTGCCTACCTGTCAAGTGTCTACTAATTGGTGCAGCTGCTTCAGGTAAAAACGAAAGCCTTCGTTTCGGATTGTCAACGATCGTTATAACCTCGTACAAACTATATTGTTTTAACACTGCAAATGCAGCGAGACCAGGTTTTTTTCTGATATTAATTTACAAATGACTGGATCAGTGATAATATCTCTGTTGTATCAAGAATAATTTGGGAGAAATAAAAAAAAAAGAAATGTAGAACACCAGAAATTTTGAAATTCTGAAATAAAAATAAAAATTTCAGAATAGCGAAGGTATTTTTAAAGGAGAGAAAATTTATCCTGTCCCATACTTAATTACACCAATGCCTGAATTCATTTTGACCCCAGTGAATTCTTATTTTATTATATTTTATCACATGAACTGTATTTCCTGTTCAAAATTCTTTAGGAATTGATATATGAGATCAATTAAAAATTTTAATCCAAAATTGTATAAAAGTTGTGTCTGTCTGTTGAAAACATTGTGAAGAAATCCCTTCATTTTCGTTCTGTCTTTGTACGTTATTCCTAGTATGTACATAACTTCAAAGGGTTAAAAAGCATAAAATCATCATTATTAAAACGAGCGTGGAAATTACAGGACACCCATTAGCTCAGAAG